CGAAACCGGCGGCGGCCGTGCCGGGGGTTGGGGGGAGCCGCTGGCTCAGGCGCTCTGACACCCTCAGCTGTGGAGCCCACGCTGCCTCTGCGCAGGTTAATGAATAAAAATTAAAAAAAAATAATTAAAATACTTCCTGTGCGTTATATTTGTCTGGAACATCTTCTCAAGCTGATGCTGTGAGATTAAGAAGTATTTTTTTTTTAATCAAGCACATACATTGACGGGAATATTGCAGTATCAGAGCAGGGCTTAACTTAGAAATGCCTCATCAGCTGTAAGAAAGATGAGTGGAAACTGTGTCATACTGTATCCTGCAGGACAATGGAGACCTGATAAAACAGGAGCTGAATTTTTTTCAAGCCTATTTATGGGCCTATTCTTAGTGTTAAACTGCTGATGCAAAACTTTTCTTGCCCTTTCTGACAGCTGGGGAAATTGAAGGTCTTGTAGAACAGACGTGTTCTGGTGCATGCAATGGCTGCTTGAGGGGAGTGAATGTGATCTCTGCGTTTTTAAAAATTAGTCTTGGTGATGATTTTTTGTCTGAGTTATAGAAGAGACTTCTTACACAGATTAAGAATAATTTGTCTAATATGGCACATCTTTAAATTTATTCACAACCTAAGCTGTCTCCTCTGTTCTTAATGTCAACAATCTTTTATCTGAAGTAAATATTCCTGGCTATCTCTTAAGTACTTTATAAAACATTTATAAAATGTTTGGGAGTCAGTGAGGTTAGTAACAGATTAACATCTAAACGTGTTGAATATTAGAATAACATCTCAAACTGTGTTCATAAGGTTCTCTTCTAATCTTTCCCCTCACGCTCATCTAAAATGTGAGCCTCTTTGCCCAATCACGATGCTGAATGCAATTAGCTTTTGGTCTTTTTCTCTGGTTCATGATCACCATTGGTTTGTATCCAGTCTTTTATGGCTGAAGAAATATATATAATCTTGCTAAATGACAAGTTAATGTGCTCAGGTAATTTATCGGAATTGCCATTTGGTGTGCTGGGTCTCTGTTTCCAAGAGCGAATGATGCTAATACTAATGTCTAAGAAAAATGCTATCTGTCTTGAAAATTCCCTTTCTTTCAAGGACTGAACAGCAGGCTGACAGCAGGGGAAAATACTAGCTACAGAAGTAGATAGGGTTTTCCCGAAGAGTGAAGGCTTTTGGAACTCTTCTGGACACCGAAGGAAATGAGTCAGGATGTCTTGCATATGTGATGTTGTCAGCAAGTGAGAGGGCAAGAAGTTTTCAGCAAGTGACTCCATAACTCCAAAGGAACAGAAATTCCACTATTAAATAAATGTCCTGACAGCCTGTCTGCAAATTTAAGAGCTTGCCCAAACTTTTATTTGGGTTCTGCAGAACATGTGCACTATTTTGAGGAAGGTCTTAAATTCAGTGTAACGTGCAATTGCCTTTAATGAAAGATAAACGTATTTGGAGTCCAGGTTGTCAGTGCAGACTGATCTGATGCTGCTGTATTCATGCTTGCATGATTTCTGGCTGACATGGACTTTTCATTTCAGAAATGGAAAATCCCGAAGTGGCTGTGAGCAGCTGCAGTGCTCACGATGATGAAAATCTTTGCAGCTACAAACGACACCTGTCAGTATCACAGGAGGGGCTTTTGGAAGACCAGCTTAGAAGGAAGCTAAAATTCTTCTTCATGAACCCATGTGAGAAGTTCTGGGCCCGGGGCAGGAAACCTTGGAAACTTGGGATTCAGCTACTCAAAATAGCAATGGTTACTATTCAGGTGAGTAACTAGGGGAGCAGGGACTCTGCTTAGCCCATGGGAATTCAAATGAGGAGCGCAGGTGACAAATGCTATTCTTGGTGTGGTGCAGAGACAGGGAAAGGATAGACTGGAAAACTATCTTAGTTGCATATTATGTAGCTTGGATCTCAATTTTCTCCTAAAACTATAGACTGAAAGATAGCTTTCCGAAGAGTGGAGACGAAAGGAACTAGGTTTAAGGGCTCTGCTTTACTTTTAACTTTGCTCTTTTTTGTCCTTTACCTCCCCCCCTCAAAGGATGGCATCCTTACACATCTGTTCCCCCCAAAACCTTCTTCACTCTGAGTGTGTTTGTGTTCAAGGGATGGAACAGTTGTTTGTGTTTCAATATCGCAGTGAAAAGAACTGAAATTGGTAGCTTTTTGGCGATGTTTGTTTATGCCTTGCATATGATATGCAAACTCTTGTATTGAAAAAACCCAGAAATTTTGCCCCACTCTTGCTCTCCCCCAGCCTTGCACCATAGATTTCGTATAACACATTTATCTGTTGCCTAAAAAGCAACTGTTTGTCTCAAAGTTTGGTGGTTAAGCAGGAAGAAAATCTTTAAATCTAACACCTCAGATGATGGTCCTTAAGAGTTGCTCGCGTGTGATTTACATCAATGGTGGTGTCAGTGCTATGACAATACAAGTACGGAGAAGAATGTTTTCCACAGTTGCATGAACAATGGGACAAACTAAAGGAATAATAATTCTTTTGCTCTACATCTGGCAGTATGTTTGTATCCCTTACTTAGCATTTTAGTTTGAAATGTATCATCCTCCTCTGATTGTCATCTGTCCCATTTTGCAATTAAAAATAAAATTCGATGGTGGAAGAACCTAAATAAGAAAGAAGAAACTAATGCTGATTTGGCCTTTTCAGATCTGCCCGTAGGTAATTCAATCTTAGTGCTGTTGATTTGCTGGTGCACTCCTGTGTGCCTAGCATGCTCAGCTTGTCCACAGAGCATTTTAGTATCTCTGTAATTGAGTTATCCTTATCAAAACTTACATATCCAGTTCGCATCATGGCCATAAAACTAATCTGTAGACTGCTCATTCAGACTTATCTCCGATGAGTTTCTTCACAATACTCCTGACACTAGATTTGAAACAATAGCCGCTAAAGAGAATTGCCAGCTCCCACAAACAATGCATCACATTCTTCTAGAAACCTTTTCCAGCCTGGCTAGTAGCTAGCAGGCTTTTATGCTAACTTTGCATGAACAATTGCAATATATTTTTTAACGGCTTCAGAGGTTATCCTGTTACAAGCACAGTTTTGAGAGTTATTCTCAAAGCACCTCTCACCCAAACCTGAAGGAGGGATGTTTGTTTTTCTGAGTTGTCCTCAATTTGCCTTTTCTGCGCTGGACTAAGTACTGCAAAGTGAGATCTGGTTAAGTTCTGTCCTGCCCTTTTGGCTAAGGTACACTGATATTCCCCAAGGCAAGTCGTATTAATGTCAGGCTGAACTAACAAAGTACATGTAACAGTATATGAGTAGCTTGAATTTGAGATGGTAGTCTTTTCTTTGTAAAAATGCCAGTCCTTGGCCCAGGTGCTGGTAAACATGTTAAAGGAACATTCTTGAAACCCATTGTTTTCCAAAGTCAGACTTTCTTCTGACCAGCTGTGAAATGGATTAGCCTGCACGTATGTGCCATGTCTACCAGCGTGATGAAAGAGTGGCTGTTTGCAGGACAGGATTCACACGTTAATCCAGAAGCCAACTTTGCCTTTGAACAGAAAATATAAATGTCTTTTTCAGCTGGTGGTTTTTGGATTGAGCAATCAAATGGTGGTTGCCTTCAAAGAAGAGAACACTGTTGCATTCAAACATCTCTTCTTAAAAGGATACATGGACAGGATGGATGATACCTATGCTGTATACACACAAACAGATGTCTATGACCAGATATTCTTTGCAATAAATCAGGTAAGGATTGTCGCTGCAACGTATACAACAAATATACTCTTCACCTGGGTACCTTTTCTTCTTCCTCCTTCCCTGATGGTGTCTGAAATTGAACTTCTGTGCCAGCTGCTTAAGACTAGAAGGTTGACTCGTTCAGGTTTTCCGTCACTGCCAGAGCATTGTACTTCTGGTGACATCCTTAAAGCTAATCAGTATACTAATTCTGCATTAAATGCAGCCCTTGGATTTGAGCCAGTGCTTTGCAAATAACAAATTAGGCTTTCTAGTAAGGATTGTAAAGAGAAAAAATAATAAGCAAAAAGATATTTAGATCCAAATCCTGCACTTACTGTTTTTGTCAAGTACCTTAAGGTATTTGAGGACTCAGCTGTAGCATGGTGTAGCTTTCCGAGTTATTTAGATGACCTTTTAAATAAAAAAGATGGGTTATGGCACAGATCCAAACACTCCTGAGTTGTGTCTTTTTTCAGAGACTAACAGTTTTGGTGCCAACTAAGTTGATTTGTCTATTTCTTCTGAACTTTAGTACTTACAGCTGCCCAATATTTCTGTTGGTAACCACGCTTATGAGAAAAGGGGAGCAGAAGAGACGGCTCTGGCCGTGTGTCAACAGTTCTACAAGCGAGGAATCATCTGTCCCGGAAATGACACCTTTGATATAGACCCAGAGATTGTGACTGGTAATGAACCTAATCTATCGTATCAGTTCTTTGGAGGGAGGGACCCTACATTTATGATGAATTCTTATGAACATGCAGTATTGTATAGTCCTATCAAATTATCTATATTGAACTTACTACCCACCGAAACTGGCAAGAAAACTACTGTGTAACTAACCTCTACCCCTCACCTCCAAGGTAACTGTCCTTTATGTCTACTGCCACAAAAGGAGTGATGAGCCGTTAGCACTGATGACCATCTAATACAAGTATTTCAGAGAGCCTTTCCTCTGAGTTCACGACAAATAACTTGGCTGGTTCCAGGAAGCCAATATATTTGTCAGCTAAGTTCCCAAATGACTCCTCACTTAAGTTTGCTATCTTGTCTGGTGTAGTCAACAGCTCTTTCCAGCCTCAGGAGTGGGAAAGGCAGATTACAGTTAAGGAGCATAATAACCCGTGAGATATTTTTGTACTTATCTATTGCAGACTGCTTGTACATTGAGCCAATGACACCATTAGACAACACAACAGTGGGAAAGCACAATTTGAATTTCACTCTGGATTTCCACAGGTGAGGAGGAATTGGCACCTCCTGCATTGGGGTATTGGTGCATTTTCCCTGTGCAAAGCTAATACAAAGCTCTGTTGCAGACTGGTGACAGTGCAGCTCATGTTCAATCTGAAGGCAATCAACCTCCAGACTGTTCGCCACCACGAGCTCCCCGACTGTTATGATTTCACCCTGACGGTGCGTGGAAGCCTGCCATGTGTCTTTCCAACCAAAACGAGAAATCGTTCTTGCTGGTTTGCCATGCACAGTTGGGGCAGATGTGAGTGCTGGGCACCAGTGACTGTTCCCCAGTGGTGCCTGGATTACTCTGTCATGGCTTCATGTACTCTGTAGATAACCGCCAGTTATGACTGTGGGAGGTGAAGCTTTGAGTACTTCTGACGTGGTCCTGAAGCACATGCTTGGCTTACAGCCTTTTGTGCTCCAATCTGTCTGAAGTATAATGAAAGCATAAACAACTTCTCTTTAGAGACATGCTTCTAGGAAAGGTTGTTTTCAGATCATAGAGGAATGAGGCTGTAGTTTAAAAGAATTTCACCTAGTATCTAGCTGATCAAGCAATTTGTGGCAAATACATGGTTCACTGGATTTGTCTTTCACTTTGACAGCTTTTATTTGAATAAACTGGAATTACCTTAAGCTTAAACAAGTTTCGTAACTTCTCCCCAGGAGAATTATACTGAATCATTATGCAAGCTTAGCAATACAGTGTGCTACATATGTAATGGTTTAACTTTAAAAAGACAAGCACTTTTTTTTTTTTTTTGTTAACACAGATAGTGTTTGATAATAAAGCACATAGCGGAAGAATTAAAATAAGTCTAGACAACGACATAGCAATCAGGGAATGCAAAGACTGGCATGTTTCCGGATCAAGTAAGTGACAAAAATGTGTTCAAACTTTCATGCTAAACTTTTGTCACACTAGCACAATGTTTGTTAACCTTTCTCTTTATTAAACGATGCGGCACTATTGACATACATTCTCTAGTGGGTGCACTCTAAATCCTGATTTTCTGAGGAATTGTTCTTCAACATCTGAACTGAAATGCTGGGAACCCAGCCACACCATTACTCTCCTTAGCAGTTCTCAAACCTTGCACCATTGATAACTGTCAAACAAAAATTTTTCCACACCTCACATCCTTCTGCTACTGAACTTAGGCTGCACATTGCTTAAGGTAGGGCTTCTTCTAGCACCAGGCAGCAGAAGGACACATGATATTGGTGGAAAGTTGAAACTGTTTGGCTCTTGTTTCAGGACTCAGCACCAGGAAAGATAAGGAAGCACTGTTGCTAAGGCTTGCCGGAGTGGAATGGCTAGAAATACTTCTTACTGCTGCTTAAATTTTATTTTGCTTGTATTTGGGTGTAACTGAGATATACCTTATGGTTAAATAATCTGTTTTAAATAGCTACTTACAAGAGCACCCTTTGCTGGCAGCTATTAGGTCTGGTCAAAACATTGTCTGAGATATTTTCTGCTTAGAAAAAATAATCTCTTTGAAAGTCAGAAGCTTTCCAGGACTCAAAATTTCACTTATTTTTATTTTTTTTTCTGAAATAAGCAATAGGAAGCATTAGATCCATTTTTCCACTTTGCCTCTTTCCCCTTTGCTATGCCTACGTTAGGAAATGGAGATCTGGCAGTGAAAAGAGAGAAGTGTTTTGGTTTGTTTTTTTTAAAGATCCAGATTGAGATTAATTTTGGGGAATTTAATGAAATGCATCACAGAGTACAAAACAAACCACTTATGCAAACGCATATTCCACTAAACACTCTTATCAACTAGCTTTGCTAGCTGTCATGTCATAAATGCACACCAGATGGCACGCTGCCTCTAACAGGTTGCTAGTGCAGCCCTACAAGAAGGTTTTCATACCAGGCTTCTGTAATAATCCACACTTGGTATCTATGGAGATTGCCTCCATAACAGTTTTCAAAAATCATCTCCTGGAGTACTCTGTATTACTTTCTGAAAGCCAAGGGAAAATACAAAGGTAATGATTGCAATTGGACAATAACAAGTTGTTGCCATTCTGAACTACACTGCAAAACCAACTTAAATGGCAACAGTACATGTGTTAGTGACTTTGGTATAAGCAAGAAGTAGGTGGGCTTTTTCTGAATAGTGCAGTTTGTGAAGTCAACTAGAACTTCAGTATTCCATTTTGGAGAATCGCTGCATCTTCTTGCAAATTTAGCATTTTGTTTCAATTTTCAATTGTGTTTCAATTTTTTTTCTTAATCACTCTTTTAGCATTAAAAGTCTAATCCTTACACTGTCTCATCTAGTTTCAGCTGCATGATAGGAATAAAAGCCAAAAAGAGGTCTAATGGTGCAAAATTTGACCTTAGTTGATCAAGAATGTGAATTTTAGTAACATAAGAGATGCAGAACTCATACCTGGCTCATCGTTGGTCTTTGCTAGCTGAGCAGCAGTGTAAATTATCTGCACTGCTTTAGAACAGAAAACTTATCTGATAGTCAAATGCTGGTCTGGAAGAGAAGATACATACTGTAAGGTTCCTGGGATTTCTTTTTTTCATTAATTCTTTCGCTCCAAAGGCCATTCCAGTGCTTGTAAAACGGACAGCTCCCACCTCTAATTCTGCAGGGCTGTAAGAAGCACTGCTCTGGTATATTTTTGATGTGGTCTCAACCTTCCCAAATCAACTGAAGTGGTATCTGTAGTGCAGATGCACTTGTGTGTCTCATGAAAATATGCTAGATGAACTTCTGTGAGAAAAATACTAAGATTTTTTTGAATTCAGTTGTATAAACATAATAACATCAAAACTTGATTTTTACTTCAATACTCAAGATGGTCAACAAGATTAAACACATTTGATTATAAACATGTATGTTTTTGTTCTTGCAGTACAGAAGAACACTCATTACATGATGATCTTCGATGCTTTTGTTATATTGACTTGTCTGGCCTCATTGATCCTTTGCACACGATCAGTGGTTAAAGGAATTCGGCTCCAAAGGGTCGGTATAACTGTTTCCTTGGAAAGTCTTCATGTCTTGTGTTAAGTCTGATTAAATTTTTTCTTTTCTCCTTTCCCCTAGGAATTTGTAAGCTTTTTCCTGTATTATTATAAGAAAGAAGTATCTTTCAGTGATCAAATGGAATTTGTCAACGGATGGTACATCCTGATTATGGTTAGCGATGTCTTAAGTATTGTTGGATCAACTCTAAAGATGGAGATACAAGCCAAGGTAAGCTTTTTTCTCTGTCAGGTGGAAGCAAAACTGATTGTTTCTGTCTCAGCTGGGTTTAAACCTCTCAGAGGACTTTAGGTTGGCTTTACTTGATTCTGAGTGCCATGAGATTTTAAAACTCTATCTTCTCCTCTGGAATTATATCTGAGATGTGTTGTTTCCACTTGTGAGACTTAAAACCTCCAAATATCACTAGATATTACAGTTCTAATTATCTTTGCTCCTTTGTGACTCCAAGGAATAAAATGAACTTCATCTCTGAAAGTTTAAGACTGTTGACTTCCTCTCTTCCCCATTTAGGACTTCTTATATTTGCTTATTTGATTTTTTTTTTTTTTAAATTTAGCATTTAATTTTCTGTTCCCTATTTAACGAGTGTTTAACTAGCACAGATACTCTCTCCTTGCTGCTTTCCCAGCTTCTGGTTTCCAGCATGTATGTAACAGTCAACCACAGCCAGGTTCTAGGCCTTCAATTTCTAAAATAAAGTGGATATAGAAAAAAAAATTTAAAACGTATTATGTTCAGCCAGAATTAGGGAAGAAAAATTATTACAATATGCTATCCTGAAGCACTCTAATATTCAGATAATGTTATTCTTCACCAAATCTGTAGCAAACTTTGAAGTGTGACATTGCAACACAGCAGACTTTGGACAGTAGTGATGAAAGGATGGGTCTGAAATCCATCTGGTGACAGCTTAGCTATCATAAATGCCCTGCACAAATGGCCCTATCTTACTTTAGGAACTATAAACTCAGTTTTGGGGAGTAGAAAGAAGCTCTGAGGATGTTGGCTAAGATAAGAGATAACTCCATCCTGCTTTGGGAGAAGTGCCTGCATTTGGGATTCCAGTATCTTATATATATAAATACATCTATTTATATATTTTTCTTTTCTAAGAGAGTATTTTACTAAAATTCTTCTCTACAGGTACATTTCACTTCATTTTGCAACCCTTGTGGACCATAATAACAAGATCTTGTTCCATGTTACTGTGTGAAAGTTAACGGCTGAATAACAAGTTCACATTAAAGTAGCCTGAATTCGGTTTTTGTCAAGCTGTAAATGAATTATGCTAAAACAAAATATCAGCCAACTCTTAGAGGACTAAAATCAGAAAATACTGAAGACTTCTTATTCAACTAAGCTGTCATGATCCATTTCAGAGTAGAGCTGCAGTTCAAGGAACAAAGTACATGCTAACTTGGATGAAAACAGGCCAGTGTGTTTAGATGGAAAAAAAACAGTGAAGTGCCAATAAAATATAAATGAAGTTCCAGTTAGAATTAATTGGAAGCTAATTAGTCTTCTCCTTGATAACTGTCTACACCTCACAGTTAGGCTTACCTACCCGGCTACCTAACAAGATCCTCCTTAGTATTTATGTGAGCTCTGCTGATAAGTCATGCTATTTTTTAAAAACTGCTTTGCCTATGTACTGGAAGAGCCTCCTTTGCACTGTGGTTCTAAAGTCCGGTCTGCGCTGCCCTTTGGGATGCAGTGCAGAGATTCCCAGGCTGCTCTGGGGAATCTGTCAATATAGATGCCAGAAGCATTCGCCACAGGTCTGGAAGCAGTGTAAAGGCATTTGCAGTGCCATTCAGCAGGTCTCAGCGAGCCAGGTACAGTAGGGGTGTCCCCGCACCTCTTGGCCTTGCAAATGAAGCTCGTCTTACCAGAATCTAGTTTGCAACCAGCCGTATGTAAAGGCATGTGAAATGAGTTACGCTCAACAGTGTCCTTGCACTGTGGTGGAACTTCTGCTTTCTAATGCATATTGCCCCAAACTAATTTTTAATGGGAGAGGTTGCCAAGGAAAACAATGTTTCTTGACAGATCTTTGTGGTAATTTAGAACCTGTCAATTGTTATAATACTTGATTTTCTTTCTTTTTTCTTCTTTTTTTTTTAGAGTCTGACGAGTTACGATGTCTGTAGCATACTCCTAGGAACATCCACTATGCTTGTGTGGCTTGGAGTCATTCGCTACCTAGGTTTCTTTCAGAAGTATAATGTAAGGATCTCCTGGGATCTTCGTGCTGTTGGTATTTATTCTGTTTGTTGCTATAGGAGGACTGGAAGAAATGCCTGGTTGAATCCTAACTGTTTGCATTGCTTTGTGCAGCTTCTCATCCTAACACTGCGAGCAGCATTACCCAACGTAATTAGGTTCTGCTGTTGTGCTGCTATGATCTACCTGGGCTATTGTTTCTGTGGATGGATTGTACTGGGACCATACCATGTGAAGGTAATATACTTAACATTGAAAAGAGACAATGTGAATAACAGAATGGATTCCAAACAAATTAGAGATTACTACTGTTGTCTTCTAAGTTTCCATGCCAACGCTTCCCTTAACATAAAAATAGTGCATCTTCAACATGATGCTGCTCTGTTTGAGGAGTCTAGCTTCCGTAACTCAATCAGACTTTCCTCGAGTTATGAAAGCTCTGAGTCAGAAGTGGAAGCTGCCGTGACTCCCAGTCACATGCTGGTATTTTGAGAAGCAATTTTTGTCTTGCAGAACACCGGTGTCAGACTAAAGCTTTGGAGATTTTATCCTTATTCCTTTTAAAAATGAAATTGACTTACCTGAATGGAACGTGTACATGTACAGGAGGTGACAAACTTTGCTCTTTCCTCAAATGTTTTACTGTTTGCACCTTGTCATACCCTGGACATACAAAGAGATCCGAGGCAGCCAGTCATCAGCTGGGTATCTTCTTCATGTTATGTGCAGTCTTTGAACCCAAATAAAGCAGCAACGGATGCCCTTGTCTTCTTCCCTCCTCTCTAGTTTCGCTCTCTGAACATGGTTTCCGAATGCCTTTTTTCATTGATCAATGGAGATGACATGTTTGCCACGTTTGCAAAAATGCAGCAGAAAAGTTACTTGGTTTGGTTATTCAGTAGGATCTACCTGTACTCCTTCATCAGCCTGTTCATCTATATGGTGCTGAGTCTCTTCATTGCACTCATTACAGATACGTATGAAACTGTCAAGGTAAGCATGGACTCTTACTCTTTGTTTGGAATAAAAATGCAAGACTGGTGCTATCAAGACTCATCTCCCTCAATATTTTGACTTGCAGTACATGCCAATTTAAAGAATAAATAGAATGGCTAGTTTTGAGGTTGCAGAGTGATGATGAGAGGTTTTTAATCTCTCCCTACTTCAATTTTCTTACAAGCCTATCTGATTTCCTGCTCCAATGGAACCCAAGTATCTACTAAAAAGCAGTAATTTCATATTCGGTTCTGTGAATCTTCAAATTTCAGACTTGAGCAATGTCTGAAAAGTGGTCTGGGGAGGATTTGGATTATTGTATGTTTTAGCCTTATTAAAGGTTTAACCAAATATCAATTTTTAGCACTACCAGCAAGATGGCTTTCCAGAGACAGAACTTCAGAGATTTATATCAGAGTGCAAAGACTTGCCAAACTCTGGCAGGTACAGGTTAGAGGAAGACAGTTCTGCATCTCTCTTCTGTTGTTGTAACGGTATGTACCTATATTAAAATTATACATTAAGGTTTATGCAAAAGCAACACACCGCAAAATGTCGCTGGTATAATGTTTAGGAAGAATATTTAATTTTTTGGGGGTGGAAGGGGAAAAGAAAACCCACAAAAGTCTCCAACTATTTCTAATGCTCTAGAATGGAGCACTCTAGCAAAATGTCTGCAGCCAACAAACTCCTTAGGAGAGGTGCGGGAACTTTTAAATTAAGAATCACTCAACATACGAAAAATAGTACAGAAAGTACTATATATACAGTAACTTGGGAATCCTGTATGTATAATATGCAAGCATTAACATTTCCAGTACTCGCTGCAATAGGCAGGATTTACAGAACTCATTCAGTGTCTTCCTATCCACTTTTTAATGATACCTTGTGCAGTAAAGTGTCCTAACTTAAATGGTAGCAGGCCTGAAACTTACAGAGAAAATCAGCACGAGGTTTTAAGACAACATGCAGTTTAAGATACTGTCACAGCACTTGGAAAAGCATTGCCTAACTTCTACTATGGAGAGCTTAATGCTTCAGTTATTTGAAGTTTTGTTTCTTCAGGAATCCTGATTGCAGGATACGTGGTTTATCTTTAACCCGGCTGGCAGCAACTGTGAGTCTTGCTTGCTGAAGGGTCTCGTGGTGGGGGAGCCTTAAAATATTTGCAGCTTGATTAAAAAGATCGAAGGCATTTGCAGCTTCTTGGTATTGGGCTTTTCTGGTGTGCTATATTGTTATACGCCAGATCGAATATATTTATGGGGCGGGGAGATGGGGACATATTTCGGAGCAGAGAGGCAACAGAGCCTGCAGTGACCCAGTCCAGAGCGGAGAGCCGCTGTCCTGACCAAGTGCCTTACTGGAGATGAAAGTGTGGGATGAAGCAGAGCAGGACATCTTGCTCCTGGGTAAAGAGCACAGACATGTTAATATTTCCTTTTCTGCACACATCTCTCAGTTTTACCAGGCAAGAAACCCAATGCGAGGCAGGACAGGGCGGGGATGTAATACTTCTCCCAGTGACTTGGAGGTGAGGATCAGGACTCTAGAAGAGCATTTGAAAAGGAAAACTTGGTTACTCTCAAGCAACTTGCTCTCCAGGAGCATTGGACAGCCAGCAGCGCCCTGGACTTGTATGGAGCTGTAGGCATTTTAGTGCCTGGTTTTGGAGCCTCGTTTCTTAAACTGGTTACTTGTTCTTTAATGGTTTTATCCTGGTGCTAAATGTCTTGATCCACATGCATGCTTCACCATGCATGTTAGTGTTACAAACTGTTTTTTACCTGAAAATGGTGTGTTTCTTTCTCTAGAAAGCTAGACCAGGAGCTGACTTTGCAGTTGTCTGTAAATACTGGACATCGCTCCTTTAGCTCAGTACTGTGGCGTTCTGGTTTTACTTTGAAATAAATCATCTATAGGAACAAATAAGTATCTCGAGCGGGATGTTGTGTTATCAGTTCTATGGTTTCCGTTCCTTAAATAGTCACATGGTCCTACAGGAGACACAAGGCTTCTCTTAATTCTTTCACATGTTCAAAATGTTTTATGGCGGTTCATAGCAGTTTCTTATCAGTGTATGTTGAATTAGTAATTAAATAGTTCTGATCCATTTTTAAGGCTCCTTGTACAATGAAACTATTATTTTGATGCATGCACCTGACAACTTTTCCCCTCTCTCTTCTACAGGCCCTAGTGAACATGTTTAATGGATTGTGGGGGTGTATCTTGGAGGCTTTAAAGCAGCATGCATTGCAAGAGCTGGACAGTGGAGCCGGTGGAAAATCTTATACCTAAAGCCTGAATTTGCTTTTCTGAAAAAACAGTGCAAGCGTGTGGCAGAAGCTTGTGATAAACTTACAATCTTTCTGATTAGGCACTCTCACTGCTAGTTTGGGGTTTTGGGGGTTTGCTTTTTTATTAGCTTCATTCTATTGTTTCCTAAGTTAAATTGCACTAGAATGCAAAGGGCATTAAAAAGCTGTCTGTGTTCAGAGACTTGGCTAGATTGTGTGAGTAGACTAGGAATGCAGTAACTTTCGACAATAAGTAGAAATAGTGTACAACTGCAACTTTGAACACCAGTATAGCCCTCAGTATTGCAGGCATTATCTAGCTATGGCTGACCAGTCACTGAATGCATGAAAGCTCCACTCTAGAGCCCTCAGCATTTCTTGTTTATCTACATTCATAGTAAAAATAAATAAAACCTATGAAATTGGGTGTAACTTGTTTCGGGAGACATTATAGTGAATTGATGCACAAGTCATTAAAATATGGCTCAGAGCGTAAACTAAATATTTCTATAAACGTAAGTACCACTTAATGTAAGTGGCAGGCTCTTCTCAGAGAAGGCAGGGATATGTCAGGCCAGAACTGAAGTTTGAGGGGTGAGTTCAGTGGAGAAATGTAGATGTTCTCCTATATCCAGCGCTGGGTAGGATCAGTTACCGTCTTCAGCTTCGCAGTGTGCTGACCTTATGTTTTTAAAGGAAAAGTCAGACAAAAGCATGTTCAAAATATTTATTTTTCTATTGGAAAACTTCCTCTAGTACACAAGTCTGCAAACCTGAAGTCTAAACTAAGTTAAATACATAGAAGATATGTGTCTGAGAGTCATAATCTCTCCACGCTTTAGAAACTGGATGCTTCCTACCAACCTAATAACCTGGTACTGTCAGTGGCTGGCTGAAACATTAGATCCTATAACAGTTCCGTTTTTGACAACTTAGTTTATATACTTTGTTGATTGTGATACCATTTAATGGATGCCTTATGTTCTATAGTCTATTCACTCTGGGAGCAGAATAGAAAACCAAAGGGAAGCATATTTTAGATAGCTTGCATTTGTGAGCAATGTTCCTGTAGGTATGTGTGACAACGTATAACGCTGTGCACAAAGGTGGAGGACACTGACCGTGTTCTGTCTGAATGTTTACACACTGTAAATGCGCTACAATAAACACTTCCAGCTGCAGTAAGAATTGAGTGTGTCAGTATTCATTTTAAGAGTAAATATTTTGCCAGGTTAACACAGGAGCTTTTTTCTTTTATAGCAATATGCAGTTCTGGCATGAAGCAGTGTGTGGAGTGTATGAACTTGCACTTCCTATGGTCAGGATAGTTCCTATGGGCCCTGATGAGGACCTGTTCCCAGTTTGATCCTGTTTAAAAGCTTTTCAGAGTTTATAATAGAAACAAATAAGCCACTGTTAAACTTCACATTAAAAATGCTCTTGTACATTACATGAAGTTCAAATCCAGCAAAAGCAAACCAGATGCAAGCTGTAGGCAGAACAGATGAGTTGTAGTATCTGAAAGTTTCCTGTATTGAGGTCCTTTTCTTCCAACATTAACCTAAGATTGAAGAATTTTGAAGGCTTTCAAGGAGATTCAAGCAATCTTGCCTCCAAAAGCAAACATGAAGTAGTCATGTTTTCTGTTGACACATTAAACTCCTTATGGATCTTCGACAACACATGATATATAATGTGAACTTCACTATTGTATAACATCGTTTGTGCAAGGAATTCTGACAAGGATGGCAAGCACTTGAAGATCACTGAAATGCAGAAGGCTGACTTCTTAGTAAGGTTTTTCATGCAGCGTTAAGAGAAAGCTAAGATTAATAAATTGCTTAAAATGCAGGTACATTTTGTGAACAGCTACGGAATGCTTTGCCAACACAGTTATAAGGTAAGTAGTAGCCTGATTTCATTTAGAAACGTGGCAGAGCATATGCTTCATCACTGTTAACTTAGGAAATTGGCGACAAATTTCAACAAAATTTGACGGAGCTCTAAAATATCAAATTCTTACAAAGTTTTAATGAAGCAGGGAGACACCATGTTAATAGAAGCCTGCAGTATGAGCATAAGGCATGGAAAGCTGCAATGGGTGACCCCAAACCAGGAAAAGGTATCATATATCGATTCTTCCAATTCCTAATAGGACAAATCTTCCACTAAAGACTGACTTCTGTTGCCTGAAGAGCAAACGTCACTGTGAAGCTTGTTTTGCAGTGAAATCCCAGTTAGAGCCTTTAAGTAATGACCTGTGCTTGTGCTACAGCTAAGTAGTCAATCAACTGAGACACAGAAATTCATTGGAAAACCACACTCTGTTACTTCTGCTGGACTCCACAGCTCTTAATTTAACATTGCTGGCAGTTATGGGGGTTTGGGGAGGAGAGAGTTGATTAAAGGCAACTTGCCTTCAGATAGTAATGGGCAGGGTCACATTGAGAAGCTGGGGGGAGGGCTATCTTAAGTTAGGAGATGCATGTATAAAGCAAAGGATAGGACGAGGTGGGAGGAAAAGAAGAGACAACTGCTCATAAAGTTAGCAGAGCAGCAATTGCATATTTCTGGCCATTGGTGCAGGCAGTTACACAGGGGAAAAAAGAACAGTACCCTGAAAGGCTACTGGCTTACACCTGCTCCCAATGTTCAGTTCTCACTGAAAAAATAAATGCTGCTTGTGTCACATATCTGATATCTAGCTGTATTTTTATTTTTTTTTTAAGAAAACCAGACACTCAAACATGTACTGTTCGCCTTGGTAGTGCTGCTGGCAATCTAAGTGCTTGCTATCAAGATTTCTGATCTGCTTGATCCTTGGTATTCAGGATCTTCATCTGCCTGAGTACTTCACTCACCTGAGAAGCAGCCAGTTGATGCTGTGTTTTCTAGCCTACTGGCTGCATTTGAGATGAAGCACAGCTCTGCCAGGACATCTGTGGCTGCTGCTGTCGCATGTGTAGTGGAGCTTTTTAATCTTATTTCCTGTCAATATATGACATGCTAGTTATGGCCTTGCAGAGCCAAGAAGTGTGACAATGATCTTATTCTAAAAAAACCCTTTGTGACTTCAACAGTATCAGTGATCTCAACATTAGCAATGCTAGTAACGCATGTAAAGCTGCATCCTGGAGACATCAATATCTTTATGCTGATACAATCAAGCAGGCGCAGGTAGAACTGTAGAATGTAGGTGGGGAGAACAAAGAAGTAGATAAACTCAGATTTATCAGATAAATTTTATGGTTAAAAATGCCATCCTAAGGAAAACAGGGGTTTCAGTGCTATCCAAGGTGTGGAGGTGTAAGAGTATTCCTTTGTTCTAATTCTCACTGGGCTCTTGAAAGAGTTGTCTGAAAAATACTGATCGTATTTCCTATTGAAAATAAGTTGCAAGGTGAAAAACTTGGGTAAGAGCTGCTTTGAAACCAAGACTTATTTCGATGCAATGTTTTGCATATGCCCAGGTAGTTAGAACTTGTTTTCAGCAGAGCTCAGATCTCTTAACAGAATCAAGTAACCATGAGGGGAAGAGAGAGGTGGGGGCTGTACTTGTTTCTAAGTACCAGTTTCCATGTTGGACAGAAGCATAATCTCAAGTAAACCATGTGCATGCAAAAGAGGAAGATATCAAATCCAATAATGCTCATACATTTCCACTAAAAAACCGTGTAAAGGCATAATTTATCTCTGGCAGATGGGAGTGGGGTAGGGGGAACAGGTGCTGCTGTAAAAGACCAAGCCTGTGATTGCATCTGTTGGGGGCATCTTCCCGCCTGAGGCCGTAGCTAATACAAAATGCTTCGGAGGAAGCCTTTCATGCATAAGCTGACATAATGCTCGTGCAGCTAGCTTTGAGTAACTCCACATAGATGTTTGTCCGGGCTTTTGTTCCTTCTTCTCCCATAAACAGCGTGACTGACTGTAACCAAACACAGCATCATCTGAGGGCATCATGTGAGTCCTACACTGCCCAGCCCCACCGTGTGGGCAGGTAGAGCACTCACAGCTCCTGCAGTGAAGCCTCTTACCAGTCTGCGTTCTGTTCTGAACACCCGACTTCGGAGTAACCACATTAAACCACATCCTCTGAGGAACCGACTACTTTTTCAGCTGCAAACCGGCCAGCTCCGCAATCCAACCTCTGACCTGTCAGTCTTCCCTGCACTACGTCTCCGTGCCTACAACAGCAACCACCGACCCTCACCTCACTTCGCAAGAGCCCGAGCACCGGTGCCGTGCTGCGAAGGGCGGAGGCGGGGGA